CGAAGAAATCCTCCAAAATAGCTCCAAGAATGTTCCCAAGTCGCTCTCTCTCTCTCTAGGGTTCGTCCCTTGGGTGTTTGGGATCCAAAACCCAGCTCTCCCCCTTTCCTTTTGCTGAAAATCGGGTTTTAACCAGCAATTCCCGACTCACACGGCCAGGCCACACGGCCGTGTGGCTTTCCCAGCTGCCCGTGTGAAGGCTCGGTAATTTCCACACGGCCACATTGCCAGGTCACACGGCCGTGTGGGTTGTGCCCGTGTGGCTTGCTCAGCCTCTGTTTAATGCTTCGTTTCTCCCTCGTCCGGACTCCGAATCAGTTGCCGTTTGATCCCAGACGCTCGTAGTCTCGTCCTCTTTCTTTTCATGACAAGCTTGCATGATTATTTGTACATAAAGTGAGGTAGAAATCCATTCTTCTTCAGGTCATACCCGAGTTTCTTCTCCCGAATCGTCAATTGATCTCTGATTGACTTGAAACTTGCGCCTATGCTTCACTTTATGTGCTAGGACCTGAAATATGATAAAGGAACACAACCTAGGATAAAATAGGCCAAAGACACGATAATTCAAGCTCAAACAATCAAGAAACAAAGGGGAAAATATGTGCAAATACCGAGTCATCACAACCCGACTATTTTTTTAGACATACAAACATTATAAAAATGGTGGACACAAATTACAAACTAGACCTACAAACCATACAAAATGGAAAAACAACCGGGTTGACTTTGGAGGATCCATCTCTATACAGAGAACTTCCGTCCAAAAGTTAACCAACTTATTTTTTAGACATAAAAACATTACAAACATAGTGGACTAAAATAACAAACATGGTGGACAAAAATAACAAAGCTTGCAAACATTACAAAAGAAACCAACAAACATTACAAAGCAAACTAACTGTACAGAATACCACTACCTACAATACAAATTGGTAAACTTGTATTACAAACCAATGAATACAAGGTATACAAATCATAACATAAAACTATACAAAAATAGACAAACAAATATTATAAATTACAATAGATACAAAATAGTCATATAAACATTACAAACTAGAATGATAAACAATACAAATATAATCGATACAAACATTATAAAATAGACTTACAAACATTGCAAAATAGTCCGACTAACATCACAAAGATACCGTTGCTGCCGAAAAATCCCCATTATCGGAAAATCTTCACTGCCAGCACCACAGAAAAATTCTCGTCGTCGAAAAATCAACTTTCTCTCTCTCTCTCTCTCTCTCTCTCTCTCTCTCTCTCACCTGGGAAAATTTCCCGTGTGAGCTTGCCCAAATCTCCTTCTTCGCCGGCCAGAAGGAGACGCCGGAAAAGAAACCAACGACGGAGGGGAAAGTTTCCCGGCCGGGGGACCACGAAAGTCGGAAGGTAGCGGCCGACCAAATTTATTTATTTTTATTTATTGTTTTAAATAATAAATTAAATAATCATGTAATTACTATATTGTCCTTCATTAAATTGGATTAATGTGCGCCATTGGATTTTAATGAGGTGGAAGGGCTGAGATTCACTTAGTCATGTGACTAAGGGACCCACCCCCCTAGTCACATGATCTTAGCCTGAGAGCATACATATCAATGCAATTACAATACCAATTGCATATTAGGTTTCTATTGTTACCTCAATAAATTTGCAATCCAACTCATATTAGGGGACAGTTGGAACCTTTAATTCTAGAAATGGTGTATTACAAGAATGCGTGTATTAAAATTATGGGTATACTAAGAATGTGTGGGTTTTAAGAATGCTTTGTTTGGAAAACATAAAAGAATGCATGAATTATACATGAAATGAACTATGGATACTAAATCTCACCAAAAAGATGAGATTAAGTATACATCATTTCCTATGTATTATGAATTCATCATGCATTCTCTATACATGCATTTGTGATTAAAACAAGTAAAAAAAAAATGTAGTTTTCTGCGAATACATGTATACTCAGAATACAACGTTTAGAATTGGAGGTTCCAAACGAGGGCTTAATGTCATTACACTATATCAATTCAATCCACTTGTCATTGTAAATATAGGTATATATTATGTTTAAATTATGATAAAATAAAATAAAGGGAAATTAAAAGGAAAGAAGTTATATTCTTTAGTCCATCTTATCTTACATATGCAATTGCATTTGTTGCAAACTTGAAAATATACAATGGATAGCTACATTGATGCAATTAGGTTTACAATTGCAAAAACTCCTGTCATGTTATCTTGCAATTGGAAATGCAAGAACAATGTGCCTGCTCTGATACTAGAACTCTTGCCCTTGTTTGGTTTGTGCAATTTCACAAGAGTAGTTTGGAGATTGCTTAGAAGATTTGTAGTAGAAACGCACTTGAGAATCAACAGATCATCAAAGGGATTGGTGACTTTAGAGATTAAACGGTTGAAGACTTTAATTTCAATAATTGCGATAGAATCGAGATTTGATGAATTTTTTTATCAAGGACGTTTATTAAGACAAGTAATGGGGAATTCTGCAGTGTAGTGACGACATGAGTGCCGCCACTTTTTTCTAATCGGTTAAGAGGTTTGGGGTTCTCATTTATTGGGTAGCTCTAGGTTAATTATTTGATTAATTAGAAGTATTAAGCCGTAAGTTTGCAAAAAAAAAAATCGGGCATTGTTCACCAAGAAAAATTCGGACGTTACTGTTCATGAAAAACCTATAATTAGCTGTAGGCGAATCTAACTTAAACCCATGGACACCACTTTCGGCAGGGCAAACACAATCGTTGATCAATTAAGTTTCTAAATATTACCAGCCATTGGATTTTTATTCTCTTAATTCCTTTCCCTCCTCTCTCCTTATCTCTCTCTTTTTCATTCTCCGCAAAAACCCTTCTTCTCCCTTTCCGATCTCTCTCGATTCCGCCTCTCCCAACTCTCGAACCCACTAAATGGCACTGACGAACGACCCTTCTTCTCCCTTTACCAACTCTCTTGATTCCGCCTCTCTCCCACCTCTCCAACCCACTAAATGGCACCGACGAACGTGGTTTGATTTACCCTCTCTCGCACATCACTGAACCTACTGAACGGCACACCGGAAGGTGACGGTGGCAACGAAAGATTTCCCATCTTTGAACCCACAGAACGGACGCCGACGAACGCCGCCCGATTTCCACTCTTTCTTACCTTATTGAACACGTTGAACAACGCGCGGGAGAATGACGATCCCAGATTTCCCCAGAAAATCTCGTGAATCGAAGGTGTGAGAAGCCCTATTTGAGCTTCATTGGTGTTTGATCCATCTCTCAAAGTTGAATTTATGGCCGACGAGCCCTCCTCCCGGCATATGGGCGATGAGCCCTTATTTCCGGCATATTGGGTTGAAACGATGGTGTATAAGGATCAAGGAGGTACTTCCATTATTAAGTTGCAGAACTGAGCAGGGGCCCTCTTTGCAATCCCCTTCCTTAATAGTTACGGTCATCGTTCTTATGAACATTGAGATTGTGGTACTTTTAAGTTACTCAACAAAGTTTTGTATCTAACTATGACTATGTTAGGCACCGCAATGCTCCCGGTCGCATCACAATGCTCTTGGATGAGACTGAGAGGAGAGAATTTGCATTCTCTGGCTGTGACCGATTCTCGGTAAAGGGTTAATTCGCTAGCTCTCTCTATAGGTCAGTTCACACAACTCTTAGGAGCTTGAAGAATCTATAATCCACAGTAGGTTGTGTTGGTACTAACGGATATTAGAACACACGAAGCTATGTACTTTTGGGATAGGAAAGTAGGTACCAAGTTATTACTTTACCAGCTTTATAATTTTGAGATTACTTAACTAGGTTCTCTTACCTTATATAAATTGCTGTTCTTTGATGGATGATTTTTCTTTTAGATACGAGTTCTGACAATTAGGAGAAGTCTACGAAGCTTATTTAGCTTTATGCTTTTTGGTTTCATTTAGGAGGGATCCCTTTCTATATCAAGCAATTGCTATTTACTATTTCAAAGCTTAGCAGGTGTAAAATCAAAGTATTGTCTGTTCACACCTCATATCATGTATGGGTAGTATTGTGGTGCTTGATGTTAGGCTTAGTTAGTTCCTAGATCTCCTGTTTGCCCATGTAGGGTTTAATTATATCGTCTATCGCTGGAATTCCTGTCGCTAAATGAAGGCTATTGGGTAAAAAAGTGGAAATTACTAAGTTTTGGTCTTCTTCCTTGGGGGCATCTTAGATTGACATTTAATAGAACTGCTGTATTTTGTTATAACTAAAGGGGGAAGCAAGCTGCTCCTATATTCATTTGAACCAGCTACATAACTTTTATTTAGATGAGTTGCTGTTGTGTTCCGTTCTTGTAAGCTAATTACTGCTTTAATTAGGTGTTGTTGCTATATGTTAAGTTGATTACTCCTTTATTAGAATTTTACGATGTTATTTCTTAAACTTAGATGGATGGTTAGGCTGTTCTGGTGAATATATTTGAAGAGAACATGTATAATTTTATCTAAGAAGTTAGAGTGTTGGGTTCTCGGCACCTCAATCAACTGCTATTATTTTCTATGCTTCCAGAGTAATGAAAGTTTGTTTGCTTCAACAAAGGATGAAAGAAAAACAACGCCATTTGATAAAAAAAAAATTCAAGGCTAAAGCCTCTCATTCTTTATTATCTGCTTCATTTTCTATATATGTTTATGTCTCATTATCATTCCCAAGGTTGTTGTCTTCATCAATGAATAGAGAAAGATTCTCATCTCTGCATCCATTCACTGTTGAAGAGGCACTCCTGAGGTGATGCAATTTATTTATCTGCACATTCAAGCGCCACACCTTGCAAAAAGGCAGCATTGACAATTTTCTAAGCCAAATATGTCTCCTTATCACTTTCTTTCTCGGCTATGTTTCTGCAATTTCTTTCTTTCCTATGGGTTTGCATATAGGCAGCAAGGAAAGATTTTTGGATTCGGTACTCTTTCAGAGAAACAAAGACATATTTTTATCATAAAATTTGTATGCTCTTAATTAAAGAAAATGCAATTGCAGCCTATGTTTGGTCCTGGTTGCATATACGATGAATTGACTTCGTGTATGCGAGGATGAATGTTTGATACGTCTATGTTGGAGTTACGTTGTAAAATTTCGGTCGAAATTAGTTCTAACTTGGTGCACAAAGTAAAACTAAATCCAAGTGCCTTTTTTTTTTACTTTGATCTTGTACGACAAGCCAACATGTTTTTACCTTTCAAGCTTTTGGCCTATTCAAAAACTCATCATATTTGCAAGCTTGAATCCCCATATAGCATCTTCACAGTACATAATTACCGGAGCAGGCCCCGTCGCTCCACGATGAAGAGCCGCAATGGGGTCATAATCAGTAGGATGAAACTGGAAACACGGCTCCGGCGAAACCGCACGGTGGCAAGCTGGTTCCGAAGGTTTCCTCTCATAATCGCTTGGATCCCGCAAAAACCAGGGACTCACCCCTGCAAGACCAAAAGCCACATACCCAAAAGTGGAAACCTGTGTGGTAACCAGAAAATCACACATGCTCAGAAGATATATATCCACTAGCGCATTCATGTTGTGTGAATTGCTATAAGACTCTTGGTTCCTCTCGTGACTCGCCCGATAAACCGCAACCGATGCTGTTTCCTCCCCATCAGCGATCGGCCTTGTCCAGTACATGTCCTTCAACTCCGAGTAGAACTCGGTTAACAATGACGCGATGAAAACTGCCTTCGATGTCCCGATTCGCGATGTGATTGTCTCATTTCGCTGTAATCGTGGCAGGATTCGAGATTCGTCCTGAATGCACCTCAATATGTGTGGCAAAATGAATGAAGGTGGGTAGTTTTCGGGGTCGAGGACCCGAATCTGAAGCCCGATCCTCTGTTCTGCTCGCGCCAAGTAAGCGTCGTAGAATCTGCTGATGCGGCCCCAGGCTTGATTTGATGGGTTGAAGAGGTATCTGGCTAAGTGGTGGAAAACAATCTCCTTGTCAGGAAACAGTTGGTCCAATTCTGTCCTGAAGCAGGGCAACAGGAACAAGTAAGGCAGAAAGTACTGGTTTGATTTCAGGACCAGCCAGGGGACATTCTTCATGAGTTCCTGAGTCTCGTCTCTGTAGAAGAGCTTGTCGTAATCGTTGTATTCGGTCGAAAGATCAAGCTGGAGGAGTGATGTAACATCCGCCAGCTTCTGGTTCTGGTTCTGGTTCTGGTTCTTCAACAAGCTGCCAAGGCTGAAAACTTCCTTGAACTCCCGACTCTTGACTCGGTCCATGAAAGTAAATTCTTGCGGAAGGAGCCAGGTCGAGTTGTGAAACGGATCGCAGAAGAGACCTCGCATCGAGGGGTCGAAATCGACGAGGAGGACACGATCGGTGAGGAGAGCGTAGAGAAATGCAGAGGACAATGCTAGCATCCTGTTCCCCATTCCAGCAAATGGCGTGAAGACAATGTATCTGCAATCGGATGCAGAGTCTGCATTTTTCCTGACAAGGGAGTCGGGGGAATTCTTTACCCTGTCGAGCTCCTGAGAGTACCGTTGGAAGGGCTCGGAGAGGGGATCGCAGCGCTTGTGACGATGTTCGTAATCTCGGAGCCTGGAAAGGAGGTAAGGAGACAGTGGAGGAGGTTTCTGATTATTTGAGTTTGGAGATGAAGATGCAGAGCTCCTCATCAAATGTAACTGGCTCCTGCTGAGGCAGGATGGCTCTGAAAATATGACCGTTGACGACTGTTCGAGAGGGGAATTTCTTCCAAGTTGGAGCTGGCGATGATGTCGGGAGACGATGATGAGAAGAAGAAGAGAAGAAACCATCATGGAAGCTACTACTCTTGGATTGCAGGCGTAGCTCAAGTTCTCCATTTTTTGGCCGCTTTAATCAGTGTCGTTTGAGCTGTTTCTATTTGATAACTCTATTGGGTTCCCTTGTTGTTGTTGAGCTTGTATAAATGGTTGTTCTTGCTGTTGCCATTAGTGCGGGTTGCTTGCTAAATGAAGTGCATAATTAAATGTTATTTTCTGATCTATCATCAATTTGGTTGATTAATTTGCTGGGTAAAGTTCTTACTTCTTACGGATTAAATGAAGAGATCTCAATGGGAGCTAGAAGGTTGTGCATCACTCTGAAGTTGCAAGTTTTAACCAACTCAATTCAATATGATAGTGAAGCGCACTTGTAGGTGGGTGGTATATGATAATCATCAACAGTGTCACTTAGTTGTTGGGTGCTGATTTCTTTTCTATCTATTATTACTAGGATAAGCCGGCTCGCTAGTAATAATAGATGAAGCAGAACATGATATTTTCAAGATTGATAGTTTAAATTTTTAACCAAAAGTAAAGAGTTTGTCATCTACAATTTTATGTAATCGACGCAACGACGAACTTTAATAAGTGAGAAGGGTAACCGAGCAAATGATTTCTATGTTTAATCTTCTTTATAGTTTATTCTTTTTGCTTTGTTTTTTTAAGTACATCTGGATTCTCCTTTTTATGGATTTCCTACACTAATTGCAGGTTTAAGGAGGTTCAACTCACTTTGGCCTGGTCGAATTAGGTTGAACCATCGATTTTGGTTCAATTTCATTCTCAATGAAAAATAAAAAGAGAAATTAATAAACACTAAAGTGGATAAAACTCGCTCACGACCCAAAATTCGAAAACATCAAGTTCAACTCTCTTTATCAGGTTGAACCGAGTAATTTTTAATAAATTCACAACCGACCCGACCCGCCAATTACAAAAGCTAATAAAACTCACTCTTGCCCGATAACTTGTAAGCACCGGTTTCAATTAGGTTGGATACCCATAGGTTTGGGTTCTCAACCAAAAGAAAAATAATAAATAAAAAAGCACTAAAGCGAATAAACTCGCTCGCTCCCTACCAAAAACTCTACACACCGAGTTTAATTCACATTGGTTGGTTCGAACCGAGTTTTGTAACAATTCACAGTTGACTCAACATGTCAATTCTAAAATAGGATAAAACACGCTCTCCATACAAAACTTGTCAGCACAGGGTCCGAGTTCATTTGTCATTCTCAACCAAAAGAAAAGGAGAAATAAAAAAAATATTAAAACGGAAAAAACTCGCTCTCAGTAAAAAAAACCCATCAAAACCGTGTTCAGTTCGCTTTTTGACCGGGTCGAATCGAGTTTTTAACAAATTCATACACGATCCAACCTACCAACTACAAAAGCAGATAAAACTCGATCTCGATACAAAACTCGTCATACCATGGTTTGGGTTCAATTGACATCTACAACAAAAGGAGAAAATAGAAATTTAAAAATACTAAAATCGGGTTCAAAGTCGCTTTGACCTGGCCGAATATGTTGGATACCCATGAGTTTGAGTTCAATTGTCATGCTTAATCACAAGGAAAAAGAGAGATAAGAAAACATTAAACAATATGAAACTCGGTCCCGATACAAAATTCGACAACACAAAGCAGATTTGTTATGGATTTTCGGTAGCGGTCTTGGGATACGGTGGATGAATACAACTTAAGATTCCACCGAGAGTGTTTGAAGAAGGGTTGTACATTATTGGGCGAATGCGAGGATTGTGCATAATAGATATGGTATGAACCTTAAGAAGAGGACAACTTATAATTTCGTCGATAATGTTTCGAGATGAGTTGCGAATTGGTGGGCCAGTGCAATGATTTGGGCAAAAGATCATAAACCTAATGGATAATTGTTGCAACAGGGAAAGCAATGAACAATTCATGAAAACTTAGTAGACAATAACTATTATGGGAAACCTAATGGCAAATAGATGTAGACCTGACGGACAATAATGAAAACTTAGTAGACAATAACTATTATGAGAAACCTAGTGGCGGGCCTAGAATTACTGGAGAGGTGTGTCGCCAATGAAATAAAATAATGATTAAAAAATTAAAAATAAATTAAAAATTTTAATAAAATTAAATAGAAATTACTAGAAATTAAATCGTAAAGTTCATAATGTCATGTTTACAACGAACCAGGAGGACTTTTCATGTCTTGAAATGTCTGTAAAATACATTCATCGTTTCTGACTAGACAAATCCTTTTTGATATACACAACTACACAATCATTCATAAATTGGTCACTCAACCAATTTCGAAGTTCATTCTTGATTATCTTCATAGCTGAAAATGCTCTGTATCGCCTTGCAATTGCAGCAAGTAAAGTCAATACCAACTTCTAGAGCAAGTAAACTAAAAGATAAAAGAAAAAGGGGTACGTGACAATTGATCTCGGTAATCAGAAACTAAAAAGAGGTAAAGATGACTTTTTTATTTTATTTTTTATTTTCAACAAAGGAAGGGTCAAGGGGTGGAAACGATGAGTTTTAAAAGATGGGGTTATTTATAGTTTTTTCATTGTTGTGTTGTGGTGTGGGTTACTTTAAAACAAGCGTATTTATTTGATTTTACTTATTATTGTTTATTACTAATTAAGATAAATAAATTTATAACAAGAAAATCATTCTGGTACAATGAAGGTGTGTCGCTCACAATTATTTGAGAGGTGTCGCAAGTCCCAAATTAAAAAAACTTGTACAAAAAATATAGGTCATTCACAAAATTTCCGGGCGAGGGTGTGTCGGACGACAGACCCTTCCCCTTCTTAGGTCCGCCCCAGGAAACCTACTGGGAAACTGTTGTAAACCCGACGGACAATAGATGAACACATAAGTTATAGAATAAGAGAGTGGAATAAAAGAGGACTTGAAACTTCCCCACTTGCACTTGAAGGAGTTTAGGAGTCAATAATGAATAGTAACTCTTATTTTAGGCTATTATATACTAATTAATAATTAATTAAATAAATAATTGTTACGCCCCCTGCAATAGCTAATGTGGAAGATCTAAATGAGTGGCACTAGATTGAAGTAGACTACAATTTTCTTTTATTGTAGTTTGATTTTGATTGGTAAAGTTAATTTTTATTTTGTAAATTGGGCTAATACCACTGGAAATACTATACTTTAGCGAAAGTGTCATTTATAATACGTACTTTCAATAAACACAAAAATATTTCAATGTATTAGAGGTTTGCGTCATTTGTGTTACGCGAAATTTTGTTGACTGTTAGAATTGACGGTTGACCTGTAGGAAATTAATACCACTGAAAATACCATCCTTTGGCTCTTAGGTGTTGTCCACATAGGTGCCATGTAGGAAATTAATATTTTAAAAATTATTAATTTAATTTTCGGAAAAAATTAATATTAGTAATTTATTTTTAAATAAATATTTTCTAAACAATGGCACTCTGTCTTCCTCCGCAACCCTTACAGCCAGGGTTCGCTCCTCTCGACGCCGACGCCGTCAGGCCACATCTACTTCTTCGGACGCGCGATTCAGCTTCTTCCTTGGGCTCTGGGCAACGGCTGAGCGGAGACAAAGCAACGACGCGCAGGGGTACATGGTGCATTCTCCTTTTTTCTTTCTCCGCCGCCTCCTCATCGGTTATCAGAATTGCTCTTGGAAATCAATTTCTAGATCCAGCCATGCCTACTATACAACGCCGGCAGGCTCCCCCACAGTTCCACCCGCATCGAATCCCTCTCAAGGCAGCCAAATCGAATCCCTTCTTCCCTATTCTCTAAAGCGGCAAGGAAAACAACTCCTTCATCTGCATTCAATGGAGACAACGACCTCCATCTCCCGCCGCCTCCCAATCACGGAAGTGGATCCCACAACTCACCGCTCTATTGTTCTTACGGCAGACACACTTCGACGGTGATGACACTGCAGCCACAGGAGGAATCTTCGTTCCATAAAAGGAAATTGCTTCCGGCTCTCCAATCTCGCATCCACAACCTATCCTAGTGACTTCCTTGGCTTTCTCCACTGGTGGATTTCCAGGAGCGGTGATCCGAACCCGACGTCAACGATGACGACGATCATCAGCAAACCAGCTATCCGAACCCGGCGTCGATGACAACGACAACGACAATCGGATCCCTGGAACTGGATCTAAATCTCCCTCTACCTCCGGATTCCGCTTAACCTATCTAATTTGCCTGTTTACGGTTTTAGATGCGATGAATCCAGATCTGTCGATAAGATTTGGAGAAGGAGAACAGTGGGCATAGGGAGGCGGCAGCGTTCCATTTGCCGATAAAGCAAGTCTCCGGAAGCGTTGATACTCTTCTGTCAAGTTTGAGTGGAGATGGGATGAATATGGAGAGGAAAAAGGTTCTTTTGTTCTCCTCGAGAGTGACAAAGAGGAAGGGTGAATAATTTCTCCTTTTCTATTTTACTTTTATCCTTTTTTATCTTTTTCTTCTAATTAAATGCAGAAATTACATAGGCGAGTTATAATTTCCACGTCATGTGCCAGGTAGGCAATGACTAGGCATTGACTAGTCTCCCAGTTAAATATAACAGTCAAACTAATTGAAAAGACGATTCGGTATACAAATGTCATATCAATAGTTTTTTAATCTAAACGGCAAAGTCGCTAAAGGTTGGTATTTTTAGTGATATTAGCCCTTATAAATTTTCTTAAAAGGAAAATTTAATATATAAATGACAAAGTAATCAGATTCTTGCGCAACCTCAATGTCCCTCGATCCACAGCATGCTCTTACAGCCTTTACCTCCCATTAACAAGGTGTTTGCCATGATGGTTCAACACGAGAGGGAGAATGGTTTGTTGCCTTAACCCCAGCCTAATCCTAATCCTGCCTCAGATAGCATGGCCTTCTTTACTAAGGCACCAGGATCACATTTAGGTATTCAGGGGGCTGGTCAGGGGTTACAGAAACAAGGTAAGAAACTTGTTTGCACATTCTGTGGCTACACTGAACATACTGAGGATGTATGCTACAAGAAGAATGGCTACCCACCTGGGTATTAGTACAAGAAACGGCAGCAGAATCCAAGACAAGCTAATAGTGTTTCTGCTGATATA